AGCACAGATTGTTAAATCAGTGTTGGGGCTCTGAACCATGCTATAGGAGAGGCTTTCCTAAAAACTCAAGTCTTTGATCAGACAGGGAAATATACACAGAAGAAAAAGTGGCTGAGGCATGAGGTTGGCTGTTGGTGAGGACAGTGACGACAATGAGAACAACGGAGGTCAAGTTAGGTCTTAGCTGCAGCTACCTGCTACCCTACATGACTGCAGAACACCACTGGCTAGCTTCCAGCTTTCTCACAGAGGCTCAAATCTAGATCCACATATAAAAGCCACCAAGTCAAATGCTCAGGGTAATCTTGCCTAGGCCACCAGAAATGGATCCTTGGGGTGTGCAAGCCTAATCAGCATGCAACAGCTGCATGGGCTGCCAATGACGACAGGCAATTCCGACATTCCAGCGGGCACGCGAGGAAGAGTGCAACAGCTCTGTCTTCCTCTTCTGGAGACCTCAGCACATGCCTCACCTCTTCTAGGGCTGTACTGTCCTCAGGGGACACTTGGCCACGTCTAAGGACATAGATGGTGGTCTCATAAAGTTGGGAGAAAGGACTGTCTACCTCAAAATACCATCAAGGCTAAGGTGGAGAAACTGTCTATTACAACAGTGGTTTCCAAACCTGGTCACATACTAAGAACACCTGAGAGGCTTAAAAATCACATGCCAAAAATAAGAAGAGGGGCGGGGCTCAGACCCTATGTTGTAAAAGTCCCCAGGGACGCTAAGATGTGACTGCACTGTGAGGCCTGTAAGGTGGCATCGCCAGTCCCCAGCACGGCCCGTGGTGGGATCTTTCTCCTTTCCCAGAACCCATTTTGTGCTTTGTTTGAGCAGCACTCATTAAACATTCTGTGACCCGGATGGGGGTAGATCAGCCATCTGTCATTTATACCCTACAAACTGCTGTGCATGGCTTATATTGACTTTTAACCTATTGGTGGCTAATAAAAGCTGTTTTTCCCTCGAGTCAATTATTCAGGCCATTGGACAGGTGTAACTTCCGGCATACAGACATGCTTTCTGCTTGAATAATTACTTTTGAAAGTGAAAGGTATGCAAACAGCCTGCACAATATATTCACACCAAAGGAGGCTGATAAAATTAATTCCGTCTCTTTGTCATCCCTCCTCACCACAAGCAATGACAAGATTTAGAAACGGAACAGCAAATGCAGGCTAGAAACCCACTGTTATCGCTTGAGAGATAAAAGAAGTTCAAAAACCAACAAAAAAACCCCAACTAAGACCATAAAAAAAGTAAAGATAGGGAACAGCGGATGCTGACAGGGTTTCATTAGCATCTCAATGATCTGATTGGCTGTCTTGTTTGCATTGTTTGCATCTAACACAGGTCTGGGGTAGACTTTTCATGGGTCCTGATAGTGTGTGTGTGTGTGTGTGTGTGTGTGTGTGTGTGTGTGTGTGTGTGTGTGTGACACATATATATCTGGTAATACCTGAATAAGGATAAGGATGTACCTTGAAATTGGAACTATCCTGTCTACCTGCTTGCTGGCTGCTGCCCAAGAGTGTTCCCTACTGCCCACTGGAGTCACCTGTTTTAGGTTGCGTGGGAACACCCAGGGACATTTGGGGAGTCTGGGCATTTATCCAGAGCTCTATCTGGCAAAGGTTGTCGGGGGCATAACCCCTCCCCTGAAACCTGGTGAGGGACTGAGGGACTGAAGTAAAAGAGTCATTGGTACAGATGAGCTGTAAACTTGTAGGTGAGAATAAGTGTGGTGGAATTTGGACGGGTACACACATGGTCTTGAAATAGTGCTGAGGTAGGAGGCTGCTCTGTAGGAGCAGGGAAAGGACAAAGAAAGTTGGGCCCCAGTGGGCAGGCAAGACAGGGTCCACATACAGGGGAGACTCTTCTGTATATTAGCAATGGCATGTACAAAGGTCCAGGGGCAAAGGAGAACTTGGATGCGAGTAGAGTTTCACTTACAAGTGGCTAGTTAGGAGACAGGAAGAGAAGAGGCTGAAGTTGGAGAGGCGTCAGGGCAGACATGAAAGCTAAATGTACTGAGTGTGAGCAGTGTGCATGAAGATGTTGTTTTGTGTAGAAAAAAAAAAGGTCGGCATCCTAAAAATGAGAGGCAGGGTACAGAGAAAAACTCTGGGTTTGGTGCAGAGGGTCCCAGAATTCCAAGCATCCCACTGTATGATCCTGGTGAGCTAACACAGGTTTGTATGGAATGGTCATACACAGCCCTACATGGTCATTCCTTCAGACAGAGATACAGACAGGGCGGAAGGGTCCAGGAAACTGACAGGGAAGGGCTGAGCCCACACTGAGATAGCCTGCTCTCCAGAGACAGGGAAAGAAGCCATGGAAAACGGAAGAGGCGAGGGGGGGCTCCTTCACTGGGGAAGAGTTGTAATGACTACCTGGAGCCCAGAAGGTAAAAAGCTAAAAGAGGAGGGGGAGGGGCGAGGGAGAGCAGAATCCCACAGCAGGAATAAAAACCGTTGGCGTTTCTTCACAGAGATTTTAAAGACTCAAATTGCCTTTTGCTCATTTTTGGATGTCGCCCTGAGAATCCTCTTGACCAGAGGCTATGTCGTCACAGCTACAAGTGAAAAAAGCAGGGGAGACCCGTCATCTGGCCTGAACCAGGCTCTCAGCCTGCAGCTCCTGCAAGCTCTGCAGCGGGCTGTTTTAAAGGCTCAACTACTACAATGACCCAATGCAAGATGAACAGGACTCAGTCTCCAAAGTCAGGGCACCCAGAGGCCTGCCTCAGTGGTCAAGGGACCCCATGGCCATTCTGGTAGGTATGGTGAGGCTCCAAGTTGCAGAGTGGAGAGCAGGTGTCCAGGGAATGAGTGTTAAGTCCTGAACTCAGCCTGCTGTCCTGGAATGGCTTCCACAGCTGTTCAGTTTCAGCAGCCACAAGTGAACACATGGCTTGAGCAGGCCGTTATTCAACAAAACCCCTAAGCATGCAAGATCAGAGGCAATCGTAGAGTCTTTAGGTTTAGGTCAGTGTGCTCCTAGAATAAAAGGCCTGTTGGGTCTTAGGACAAGGCTATGCAGACTCACTTAAGGGTACATCACAGGACAGTGGCTGAGGCTGTTAGTAGAACTCTCTGGATATTAAAATGTCAATGAAGTTGTTCTCATGAGAAATAATAGCTTGTGTTTTTATGTGAATCACTCTCCAGGTCCCAACCCCCTTTTAATATTTACTTCTACTCGCATAAAGAAATTGCTTCATCATGTGGTTTATAAAACTGGGTCCTCCCAGCCCCCAATCGGCAGTGATTTATTTTCTTTATAGAAAATGTTAATAACTGGCCAGGAATCTGAATCTTAAAAGCATGCAAGAATGAAATCTTTGAAAATGAAAACAAATGATTCATTTTTTTCTTCCTTTCAGGGAACTGCTACTCTTTAGGATGCAGGAGGCAGGCAAGGAGGAAAGAAATGACTCTGATTAGTTCCCTGAAAGCAGCCCCCGGCATGGGCCTTTCCGGTTCCATCTGCACATTGTCTGAGAAACTGTGAAGTACTTCTGGGGTAACAGGGTCCCTAATGCAAGAAACCCAAAGATCAAAGACAGACACTTTTAGCAGATTGATATGGCAAAAGGGACAAATGCATCCAGGAACGAACAGGAGTCTGGGGACTCAAAGGCAGGAACTCCAAAGGGAGAAACAAGAAATCGTTTCAGAGTAGCAGGCATTGGAATAGGGTATTGAGGGGTGAATAGGAGCTGTCCAATTGGAGCGAGAGGAAGCTGAACAGTCACCTAGAGGCAGTGGTTCTCTACCTTCCTGATACTGTGACCCTTTGATACAGGTCCTCATGTTGTGGTGACCCCCAACCATAACATTACTTTTGTTGCTACTTCTTAACTGGGTGCTATTATGAATTGTAATGTAAACATCTGTGTTTTCCAATGGTCTTAGGTGACCCTCATGAAAGGGAGTTTTAACCCCCACAGGGGGGGGCACGCGGGGGGGGGGGCACACGCCGGGGGAGGGGGTGCATGGCCAGGAAGGGAAAGGAGACATCTGGAGACATGAGTTGACGATGCACATGAACCAGGCTCAGGGCCCTACAGGGCAGCACGGGGAAGGATCGTCTGAAGTGGCTATAGCGTGCACGGCGTTAGAAGCGGGCAGCCCTGGAGACTAGCTGGGTGACACACAGGTCCAAATGAGAAGTGGGACAGCCTGCGCTGGAGCAGTGGCCGCACCCGCCCTGACAAAGGACAGGTGGAAGAGGCGCCGGGAGGCGGGAGCCACAGAACCCTGCAGCGGGTCACTTGGCACCAGGCGTCCAAACAGAATGCAGGCCATGGCAGGCTGGCTGCTGGCTAAATAACAAATTCATGTGGGGGGGGGGAGAAAAAGAAAAACCGTGGTGGGAAGAGAAAAGTGGTTTGGGGCATTTATCTGGGAAGACAGAGGCAACGGGAACAGGGCAGGGGTAAATGAGGCTGAGCTCCGGTGAGCCTCAGGGTCTCACATCTTCCCCATGTCTACTTAATTCTGTGGTGGGCAGCTCATCACCACACACAGCTTTATTCCCGGCCACCTTTTCTTGAGTACCTTGTGCCACAGTCCCCTTTCTAGCTATACATATATACATACATACACATCATATACATACATACATACATACATACACACATATATACATACACACACATATATATATACATACATACACACATACACACATACATACATATACACACATACACACACACACACACACACACACACACACACACACACACACACACACACACACACGTGTCTCCCTTTGATTTTTACTTTCAGCCGCTCCGGGAAGTGTCTCACAAGCACATTTGACTTAGCAAAGGTCCCAGCAACTGCCCTGTCCTGTCGTCACCCTCCCGGAGGCAAAGAACAGCGGCAAGAGAGTGAAAAGGGACAAGCCTGGACTCTAGCCGGTGAGCAGCTGTGGCTGCCTGAACCCTACCCTCTCCCCTGCAGCCCAAGGTTTCACTTACCGTGCTATTGCAGCCAGCAAAGCAGGCTGACAGGTAGGTGATGCCGTCGGCCCCACACACTGGGGTGAAGGAATCCGTTTGGCACTCACAGTTGCTGTTGCACGGAGAGTAGGGGTCGAGGGCCGAGCCACGCGCTGAGCTGGGCAAGAGGAGGTAAGGGGCCTTGTTAGGAGCTGGGACTGCTGATTGCACTCGGCTGAGATGGGCTTTGAGGTGTCCTCACTCAGTGTGATTCCCTGCTCTGCCCACCCTGGCCCCGTTCCTTCTTCCTGTGTCAGTCCTGGCTGACCTGCGAGGCCTGTCCAGGACCGCTGCTAAGAGCCCACGCTGCTGTACCGCTTTAGGTCTTCTATCAAAGTGAGGAGGAAGACATTGTTTTGTGATTTGTAATCATGTGTCCTTTGAGCTGATGCCAGGTGGGGCTTAGCTTAGGGTCAACCACTCGGGGACACTTTTCTAGGTGTCTGCAGTCTGCCCTACCCCATAACTCCTCCTACACTGCTGCATGCCCCCCCCCCACCTGTTTCTCCCTCTCCTGCATATTGGATGCCCAGCCTGGCTCCAACAGTCACCCTCTGATTGGTTTATTATCCCAAGATACATAATGAATGCTAGGGTGTTTTATACTTGCCTGTGCATTACAAAGACGCAGCTACCAATAGCACACAAACTGGGGGGACACCGGGGGAGCCCAGTTTGCATCCCCAGAAGAAGGAAGTGACTTTGGCACCCCTATTTTTCTGCTCTTGTCTTAAGGGTACTTCCTGATAACATGGGTGATACAGAGACCCCTGGCTGTTTCCATCATGCTCTGTTGGAGGAATCCTATGCATCACTTTGTCTAACCCCATAAACTTTATCAAGAGGGAAATCGAGGCTGGACCAGCCAATTATTTGCCTAAATGGATGTAGTGCGTGAGTGTTGAGAATGAGTTACAACTGGGTAGTGTGACCACGGGGGCCTTGAACGTTTCATTTGTTTTTCATTTTTACAGCGTAGTGTCATTGCCCTGTGAACTTGTGCATGTGATTCTAATCACCGTAGTTTACTGCTTGTGAGCTGAGCAGCCCACAATGAGGACTGCTTTTCAGAGTCAAATGCAAGCCAGGGCAGGCTCTGTGTGTGAGAAGGACCAGGGCTGCCTGAAGTGCACCCGGGTCTGTGGAAAGCTGCCTCCCCCTGCTCACTCTTAAGGGGTGGCAGATGATCCCCAGATCTACCCAGTCTCCAGGCTCCTGTACTGTGTAACCTGAGGGTGTTCTGACTGTGTAACCCGAGGGTAGTCTGACTGTGTAACCCGAGGGTAGTCTGACTGTGTAACCTGAGGGCAGTCTGACTATGTAACCTGAGGGTAGTCTGACTGTGTAACCTGAGGGTGTTCTGACTGTGTAACCTGAGGGTGTTCTGACTGTGTAACCCGAGGGTAGTCTGACTGTGTAACCCAAGGGTAGTCTGACTGTGTAACATGAGGGTAGTCTGACTGTGTAACCCGAGGGTGTTCTGACTGTGTAACCCGAGGGTGTTCTGACTGTGTAACCCGAGGGTAGTCTGACTGTGTAACCCGAGGGTAGTCTGACTGTGTAACCTGCAGGGCAGCCATGGTGCAGCATGTCTGGGCTAGACTCCACACCTCAGTGTGATCTCAAAGTCCCAAGAGGAAAGGAGACACTGGACATAGCAAAATACAATCCCATAATTTATTTGAAGAGCCATTGCTATGGGGACTCTGGTCCACAGCCCTGGGGTAACAGCCAGGGAATAAGAAGAGATACCATAGCAACCGGCTGGCCCTGCTCCCCCTGCTCCCCTCCCTGTTTGCTTCCATCCCTTCTTCCCCCCACCACTTAAGCGTGCTCACCAAGGGCCAGACTCAGTAATGACCATGTGAGCTGGATGGCAGCTTTGGACTCATGTAGGAATTATTGAAATTGATTCTTTTATTTCAAGCCGAATTTTGAAATAAGGTTTACTTTTATTTTCTATCTTCACATCATTCCGAAGTCAAATGTAGTGGACTGGAGAGTGAGCGACTAAGCTGCTCTCGGGACTACCTTGCCACGGTGGAGAAAAAGGTCAACTTTCAGAGGACAGGCAAGTCTTCCGACTGCAAGGAAGAAGCTAGCTAAGGCCTCCTGGGCTTCTCTGCTAAGGATCACTAGTGACCAAGCTGGCTCTATTAGCCTGCAGCAGAGAGTCCAGATGTACCCAGGCAGGGCTGAGCTAGCTATGAACCCACAGAGAAGGCAGCTCAGGTGTCCCTGTGCAGGGCTGAGCTAGCTGTGAACCCACAGTGAAGGTGTCCCTGGTATCCCTAGGCAGGGCTAAGCTAAGAGTTTAGGTACTTACTTGTTTCCATAGGGAACAGTGACGCCAGCCACAGGACCCGTGTCACAGCCCAGGAAGAGGAAGGAGACGTAGCAGGCCGTGGACACTAGGTTGACAAGCATGGCCATCCGAATGGCCCCCAGAGCAGACAGACTCAGCTTCTTCACCAAGAGGCCACCCAGGAAGATGCCCAGGCAGGCACAGGGGATTGCCGTCATCCCTGAAGGAGCAGAGCAGTGGGGTATGAATAGCAGAAGAGGGGCCGATGGACATTAAGAGCCCCGTGACATCGTGAGACGACAATGTCTTCATGAAGGGCCTTATTTCTGTCCCCAGAAAACAAGGGGAGACAGATTTGGAAAAAGTCAGTCATTGTGAGCCAAAGTGCACACAGCTTGCACACTATCTAAGAGGATGTATGTGCACAAGCAGATGTGGGTCCAACTCAGAGCTGAATTTAGTAAACTGGGGACCAGGGTGTAAATCTAGGAGATTAAATATTGGGGAGCAACGATGTAGTCTCTGCATTAGTAATTTTTTTTTGGTGTTTGGTGTTATCCTATAGACCAGGCTAGCTTCAAAACACTTGGCAATCCTTCTACCTCAGCTATCCAACTGTTCAGATCCTACCCAAGTTCAATTTGCTGTGAATTGTGTGTATGAATATGTTTGCATGAATGTGCACATATGTGCCTGTGTTATGTAGAAGCCAGAAGACAACCTTGGCTGTCATTTCTCAGGCACCTGTTTTTGAGATGCCATCTCTCTCTTTGGCTTTTTTCCCCCTGCATTTGGTTTCTGAGTGTGGTACTCAGATCCTTAATCACCTTGACACATGAGCTTCTCCGTGCATATTTGCAGTGACCAGCAACTGTTTAGGTAGATAAAGTGATTGTCATGCAAGCATGATGAGTGGAGTTCAGATTCCTGGAAGCCACATAAATGCCAAGTAGGCCTGGTGGTCCACCTGTAATCTCAGCATGCAGGAGGCAGAGATGAGAATCTGGGTGGGGACAAGCCATTTAGCTAGACTAGTAGAAACGGACAGCTCCAAGCTCAGCAAGAGATTCTACCTCAAAAGATGAAGTAACAGAGGACATCGGCATCAACTTCATGCCTAAACATACATTCCCACACACTTATACACACTTATACACATGAACATACGTGTATTCACCACACACACACTGAGAATTTTCACTTCCTCTTCTAGTGAGGCAAGGATGGTTCATAGGCTCCAAGGCTGTTTAAGCCAAAGGCTGCAGTGCTCACACATCTGTGGAGGACACCATTTAGCCAGTTCTGCCACACCTCAGGAAGCAGTGTCAATCAAATCACTATGTTCTTCAGCACCTGGTGAATAATTGGGGAGTATACAGTCTCTCTCTCTCATACACAGAGCTGTCTCCTAGGCAGCAGGCCCGTAACCTGTTCCCTAGGAGTCTCAGAGATCCAGGGCACTGTGGGAGAACCAAAGGACCCTGCTGTCCCAATCTCCTCTTTGCTATGGCTCTATTCTGATTCATTTCATCTACAACTCGGCTCTAAATTACTAAGTGTCATTTATCTACCATGTAGATTATGCATGGCCAATTTTCCAGTCTAGGCTGCCTCCTCCCTGCCAATCAACCAACCTCCAGGTCAATCGACCACATCAACCAGCTGGTATGTGCTGAGGGAATGCAAATTAAGTTTTCAAATTAGAGTAAGAAAGTATAATCGGAAAGGTTTAGCTCGCCAAGACACTATCCTGGCCATGCTTTAACAGATGCAGACCCGTGTGTCACTAACTGCCTTTGACATCTGAGCTCAGTTTCCAGCCTTTGGTATGAGTATGGATATCATGACCTTGTCCCGTGTGCCTCAGTCCCCGGTCCATGCCACTGACCATTCCAACAACATCCACTTTTCCTACTTTCTCTCCCTGGAAAAGTTTAGGTGCCCAGGGTGCTGCGGTCATTGCAGGTACATTGGTTCTATTCCTAAGGACACACTTGTCCATCTTTTCTTGGCTGGTCTTCCCCTCAGGTAACGTGGAAAGGGGATTTAAGATTGTCTGAGAATCTGGGGCAGAGGACATGACTCAGTGAATAAAAACCTGTGGTACAGTGAAAGGACCCTAGGTGGGATCTCAGAAGCCAGGTTAAAGCTGTACAGGTAGTAGCCCACGCGTAACTGCACACTTGGGAGGATGGCCATGGTAAGCTGTCCAGCTGGACTAGCTGGCACTGGGGAGCTCTGGGTTCAGTATGGGTCTCCTGTTATCTCCAGGCAGGATTCCTGTTTCCATGGCTTCTCTAAAGCTTCTGGGTTTATTTTTGCCCATCCTGTTTCTTGCTCTTGTCTTCTATCAGCATGAAGTTTCCAGGAGGAAGGGTACCCTTTGGGTCCCATCCAGCCCATCCCAAATCCCAGTGCCTAATACAGTACCCTGTGCCGGTTGGCATTCAGGCATCCCTTTGAGAATGAATGCATCTTCGAGCAGATTGGATCTGTGTGAACAAGCCTTGGTGACAACATGCCCACGCCGGGAGAGCATCCTGGGCTTTGTTTCATTTTTCTAGTTGAGACAGTGGGGGTGTCACCTGGTGATGATGGTAACCATGGCAACAACAGGATTTCAGCACCTTTTCTCCCAGTCACTATTAGCTTCCCCTTCCCTTCTTCCATGATGTGTGGACATGTCCTTAACACCACTGTCCATTGCCAGCACTTCTCAGGACCAAAACTTCATCCTCATTAGATTAATTTATGCAGATTGAGCCCTTTTAATCTATACTCATAAATCAATGTCATCGGCCCCAGGATGGTCTACACTGCTCTTCTCTGAACTCTGACCAATTTGCTGATGACTTTGTGGATGGCCCAGAGCCTTGCATGCATAGATTGTGATAACTGCATGCGCACCATCTTCCGGGAGTACAGGAGCTATTCTGAGAGCATCTCCCTACATTAGCCTCCCCTAGTGCACCCTGCCCGCCCCTCCTGCAGTGGGCTCTCCCTAGTACACACTGACTGGGTCTATGCCATCGCCCACACATCGGGACAGGGGATGCCTGCTACCTGCCTGCCTGGAGAATGTGAAGAGGTCCCACCCGCCTCCCCTCCCACCTTGTTAAGCACTCTAACAGGCAGAAATCACTGGGAAACAAACAGATGCGAGGTGACAGAATTGTTTTTCTGACTTCTGCCCCAGAGACTATTGATTTGTCTGTCGATAGAGAAAGCTTAGGCATTTGTTCCAAAATAGGACCTGGCCCCGAAGATGCGACTGGGTGAGGACAATCAAAATGGAAGATGTGGCGACAGAGACACCAGGAGGTGGCAGACAAAACCTGGGGAGCTGGATGGCCAAACCCCAGATCCTAGAGACAGCAAAGGCTACAGCTTACATTACAGGGAGAGGTGTTTTTCTCCTCCATCCTACAGGTATTAAAAAGCTGATGGCACGTTGCTGATGCTCTTGCCAAAGAGTGGGTGGTAAGAATGACTAGTGAAAAGGCGGGGGGGAAGGCTTGCATTCCCCAGAAGTTTTCAAGGAGAAAAAGCTATGGTATATTATCACGATGGTCAGGGTTTACATTTCTTTCTAAACAGAGATGTGAAACACACAAAGACCACTCTGGTGAACTTTCCAATATGTAAACACCCGCACAGTCAGCACTCCGGTCAGGCACAGAACGATTCCAGATGCTTGGGGCTTGAGAGTACTTGATGCTCCGTGCTTTCATAAGAGCCAGGTGGAGGCGCACACACCTGGAACCCCAGTGCTGGGCTGTAGTGAGACATGTGGAGTCCAGCAGCAGGCAGGCCGGCAAGCTCAGCCAGACAGAGACTTTGCATTGTAAACTACAGTGGAGGGGACTGAAGAAGACATCTACTGTTCATCTCTGGCCCTCACGTGTACCTATATTTACATGCACATACAACACACACACACACACACACACACACACACACACACACACACACTTGCAGCTCCCTAAGAGACTCCTAGGTACCTCCCACTAGTTCTAGCCTTCAGAGACAACTGAGGCTCTAGTGTCTTTTATCTTAACTAACAACTCTTTTTTTTTTAAGTCCCATAAATACATTCTCTTTTCGTGTGACATATTTAAACTCATATTCATTTACATGGAAGCCTGCGTGAGAGTTCGTCCTTTCCCAAGCTGTGTGGTATAGAATGAACAGTCTATCGTTTATTTACCCATTCTGCTGTAGACAGACATTTGGGCTAGTTCCAGTGTGAGATAATTATGCATAAAACTGCTCTGAACGCTGTTATATATGCATATGTAAATGAGTGGACCTAAACACTCGATTCTGTTGGATAAGTGCCCAGAAACGGGACTGATGGATCACAGCACAGGCATATGCTGAGCCTTAATGGATGGTGCAAAAGCTGCCCGAAGCAGAGGCTCCATCGTGCATTTCCATCACGGTGTGGGCTCCCATTCCTCTGCATCCTCCCCAGCACTGGGGCTCGGGGATATCATCGGCTAGTGTGTCACAGCGCCTCCTTAAGGTTTCAACGTGCACTTCCCTCACCACGATGCCAGCATCTTAGTATTTATCGGCTATTTCGTGATACAATAGGAATTTCTCTCTCTCTCTCTCTCCTTTTCTGTGATGTATGTATATGTATGTATACATGCATGTGTGTTTGTATACATGCACAAGTGTACATGGGTGTGTGGAGGTTGAAGTCAGATACCTTTATCTATGGCTCTCTTTATCTTTTTTTCCCTCAGTATATGTTTTTATTTAAATTAGAAACATGCATGCTTCACATGTCAATCCCAGCTCCCTCTCCCACCCCTCCTCCCTTGTCCCTCCACCAGCTCCCCCAGCCCCCCACCCAACCCCCACATCATTCCCCAGGGAGGGTGAGGCCCTCCTTGGGCCCCCCATGGTCTCCAGAGTCTGTCATTTCATCCAGGGCAGGACCTAGGCCCTTCCCCATGTGTCCAGGCTGAGAGAGCCTCCCTCCATGTCTCCACTTTAAGTTGGCATTTTATTTTATGTGTATGGGCATCTTGCCCGCATGCATGCTTGTGCATGCTAGATGCCCATGGGCCAGAAGAGAGCACTGGATCCCCTGAAACTGAAGTACTTAGCAATTGTGAGCTACCATGTGGGTGATGGGCATTTAACCTGGGTACCCTGAAAGAGCAGCCAGTGCGCTTTACCTCGGAGTTGTCTTTCTAGCCCCTGCACCTTATGTTTTGAGATGGGCAGCTCCCTGAATTCAAGAGTTTAGCTATTGGCCAGCCTGGCTGGATTTGATGCCTAGCACCCACATGGTGGCTCACAGCTGTGTATAACTCTAGTTCAGTGGGATCTCACGCCATCTTCTCACCTGCAGGCACCTGGAATGCATATGGTGCAAGCATATCTTTTGTTTTGTTTTGGTTTGGTTTGGTTTTTACGAGACAGGGTTTCTCTGTATTGTTTTGGAGGCTGTCGGTCCAGCCTGGCCTCTGCCTCCCGAGTGCTGGGATTAAAGGCGTGTGCCACCACCGCCAGGCTGGTTCAAGTATATCTATTCAGGTAAAGGATGCATACCTAAAATAAAGTAATACATCTTTGGAAAAAATAACTCCTGGGGTTCTAGAAATAGTTCAATTGGTAAAGTCCCTGCTGTGGGTTTTATGTTGCTAAGATCATTCCTATAGTCTAATAAAAACTTATTAATCTTTTAAGATGGACTTTGATGGTTTTATTCTCTCATTATGTGCTTCAAAATCTCCCATTCACACAATCAAGTGACTTCCTGACCTCTCACAACACTTCCTATGTATACCTCCTATCTTTGTTCTTTATTATAGTATGTTTTTGTTTTAAATTTGGTATTATTATGCCTGTGTGTGTCATGGTGTCATGTGGTCAGAGGACAACTTCAAGAGTTGGTTGTCTCCTCCAGCTGTGGGTTCTGGGTTTTGAACTTGGATCATCAGCCTTGAGCAACAAATGCTTGCCCTGTTAAGCCATCTCACTGGCCCTATAATGTGTTTTTAATATTTGCCTCAAATCTCACTCTGAAATTCCTTGTGTAGAAAGGTCAGAGTATACCACACTGCTACTGACTTAGCATAGCCCTGGACAGTCTTTGGATCTCGGTGCACTCTTTGAACATTTGGGTATGACAGGAGGGCAGAGACCCACTCACCGAGCAGTTGGTTGGCAGAGGAAGTGGTGAGGTTAAACTGCTGTTCCAGGTACTTGCCCAGGAAGGCAGCGAAGCCAGCCACCACAGCAATCTCCATGCAGGCAGCCAGGACGATGCAGGTGAACACCGGGTTTGAGAGCAGATGCTTGGTGACCTTGGGGATCACTGTGGGGATGGACAGAAAGCAAGGTCAAGGCCACAGGAGTTGAGTGCCCACTCTATGACCTCATTAGAGACCCCTGCTTGATGCAACAGAATCTTTATCCTGTAGGTCATTCGCCACTGTGAGAACTCTGGCTTCGAAACACACACCAACATCCTGCAAAGTAAACCATCTTCTACTAAAGCAGGCCACTCTACCTGGCTTCTTCAACACCACAACTGCAGGGGTTCACACGAGATAGTCAGGCATCTTTTAAGGAATTACAAGATTTTTTTTTCAATCCCTCATTCCACTCCAGAAGGAAATCGGTTTTGGATATTTTTTTTCCTCAGATGAAACTGTAACATATATATTATAAATTTTATAAATCAAAATATTTAAGCATATGTCCATATGCACACTATGTGAGCAATATTTAGGACTATGTGCTATATGTACAATAAATATGTTTAATGTCACCAATGTCAAGAAAGAAATGATGCTCTCATCCTTTACAAAAAATCTACCTCACCACATCCCTGGTCAGCTCTCTCCCGCAGGGCCAGAGCAACCCGCGGGTGTCTGAGCTACCAACCTTGACTTGATCACACCCTACATAGTAATTAGTGAGATAAGCTTGGAGTTTTTAACTGCTCAAATGTCCACAGCAGGGAGTCTCTGGCTTATGGTCTGGTCCTTGAGTTTGTGGTCTACTTGGTGGTACTGGGATAGTTCCAGGATGCTCTACCCTCCCTCCATCCCCATTCCCAGACCTTGATCCCCTCTCAGCTGCATCCACATCTAATGCTAGGTCTTTTTCATCTAGCAATGCTCTTCTCCCAAACCTTTACCACACAGGTACCCTGCCGCTCAGATGGGCTTTCCTCTTTGTCCAGCCTAACCTGGAAGAGGCTCCCAGACAGTCGCAGGTGCTTAAGGCCTCATGACAGCTGGCTTTAGTCACCATACACACGGACACTTGTGTACCATGTTACATATCAGCAGGGCCCGACAGTGGTGTGCAGAGGCTATATGCTTCCATCCCATTTACCGCACTCTATTTTCCTTACAACGCGGTTTCATAAGCCACCGAAACTCCCTCTTATGTTGGTGCTTCTCAAAATCGGAGATTTGCTTTTGCACTTTGAAAACGAGTGCATTGATTAGGTTTCCAGTAATTAGAATCCTTGGCACGAGGTCTTCAACCAGCTTTCCTCAATTACGCTGCGCTGGTGTATCCTGGATGATGCTAGATCAGCCCCATCTTTTCAGCATTGACACCTTTGCTTTATTTACTTGAGTGTGGGTGAGGTTCGGGGGCGGGGTGTGTGTGACTGCAGATGCATGCGTGCCAAGCATGCATACGGAGGTCAGCCTTGGGTGTCAGTCCTTGCCTTTCACTTTGAGACAGTCATCTCCTTGCTGTCTTCCTACTACATATGCCAGGTTGGCTGGCCTGCAGAGCTCCTGGGGATTCTCCTGCCTCCACCTCCCACTTCCCTGAAGTTACATACTTATGCTGGTTATCCAGCTTTTACATAGATTCTGGGGATTCAAACTTAGGTCCCGAGACTTGCATGATAAGCACTTTTATCCTCTGAACCATCTCAGACTCTACACAATTATGTTGGAGTCTCTGCTGGACACCAACATCTATACATGCTCAGATCTATTGTACAGAACAGTATACTATTTGTCTGTAACTCACACCCATCCTCTCATGTACCTTAAGCCATTTCTACACTACTAACATCAAGTACAAGGTGGAGGCTATGCAAGTCGTTGCTAGAGCCCACTGTGTAGGGGATCATGATAACGACAAAGTCTATACTTGTTCAGTTCAGATGCAGTTTTCCGTGGAGTGCATTTCAATCAGCAGTTGGTTAGGTCTGTGGATGCAGAACTTACACAGATGGAAGTCAGTGGTATTTACAAAATAATTAACCAAATAGAGCTGATTCATCAAGTGCTATGGCTTAAGACAAGTAAACTGATTTCAAGTAATGTGAAGAAAAAAAGCTTATGCAAATCATAAATAATTCTCTATAAACAGTAAGGATCGAGGTGGAATGTAGGTTACAGCAAACATTGTTCAAGTGCTGTGCTGTAATTAGACTTGGGGCTGGCTGGGAATGGGGCTCAGGTGGTAGAGTAGCTTGCCTGGAGTGCACTCAGCCTTGGGTTTCATCTCCAGGGGTACACAAAACAGCTGTGGTGGCGCATACTGGTCATCCCAGCCCCTTGGAGGTGGAAGCAGGAGGATCAGAGTTCAAGGTTGTTCTCAGCTAGGGCCAGCCTGAGATGCAGGAGATGCTGTTTCACAGACAAGGAAAGGAGAATTACATTTTGCTATACTCATATTAATAACAAAAGTGAGGTGTAGTGGCTGCGTGTACTTGTTTCTCCCTGTGCACATGAAAATGATCACACACTGAGATGCATGCAAAGTTAGACTAAGTATTAGAAAAGCCCAAAACAGTGTCTATGGCCATATAAAATAAACAGGTGGGCTGAGAGCCCAACCCTGAACTCCAAGGTGATGAGTTAGCCAGCTGTCCCAGAGAAGAGAGCTAATTACACAGGCTCAATTGCATCTCCTAGGAGACGAGACCTCCAAATGGCTCATCTAATTAGAATAAAATAATAATAGGAGACACATAAGTTTTTAATAACGTTAACAGACAAGCTCAATGCATCAAAATGACAGAACAATAGACCAGGGACTGGCAGATATACAAAACTTAAAATTTATCATCTCTGGGAAAGATATCAAGTTTCCAAAGTGAAACTCTCCAGAGGTGGTGGGGGGATTTAAGGGTTTAGTTATAGCTCAGTGCTGGGCCAGATGACTGGAGGCCCAGGATTACTGTGGACTGAGCCCTGGATCCGACACCCAAAGGGACACAGTCAATAACCAGGGTTGGTGGCCTCGGCTGTTCTACTTGTGCTTCTGAGGCTTTAGGAAGGCAGCTTTAAGACACACACACACACACACACACACACACATATATATATATATATGTCAAAACTTTATAAAGAGTATGAGCAGAGATGGTAAACAAACAGCTTCAAGTCCTTGGGCTTCATGCCATACAACGTGTTTAGAGTTTTCCTGGTCTTTATGGGCACGGCGTGTGTATATTTTACATGCCTTTAAACATTTATGGCAATCTAACTTTTCAGAAGTATCATTTCAAATAAATGCCCAGGAGTGTTTGCTTTTAAAATCTGTGTCTAAATGTTAAAAAAAAAACTTTCCTTTGTTAAATCCATATTGTTTTTAAGTGCTGGGCAAATATTCAGAGAACTGTTGACTCGGCGGCGTTTAAAGGGTAGCTTAACAAATACAGAAAATGAACACAATGGGTATAAACAGAGGGAGATTTGTTCTTTGTGGACAGAGGTGCTTTGAGTATACAGACTGCATCATGGTAAATCACTGCTTCTGGGCCAAGCATGAGGCTTTTCTGTTACCCAGAGTAAGGGTCATAGCTGCACACTGTAGAGAGAGCAGAGTAGCTCACAGCACCTCCCTAGGATGGGTGAGTATGAACATGAAAGTCCTGGCTGCTCTTGTGTCACGGCAGACACCACGGTTACCTGTCACTGTGCTTTTTCAGAACGGTGACATCTAGATTCTGGAAGCGCTGCCAACAGTGAAGGGACAGGTTTGGGACAATCCAGGCAGATGGATCTCTGCCATCTTTCACTGTAGGCTTCATTTCCTCAGGTGGAGTGAAGTCTCTGCCAAGTGGGACTCCGGAAGAATGAGGAGTCCCCCTGGGTCACACCATCAAGAACCTCTGACAGCAAAGTCCATCTGGCTCCAAAATGACACTGACGATGATTTGAGTCAATTACCACATCTCTTCAGACCTCAGTATGGCCTTAATCTTCATCAGAACACTCATGACCTATTTGGGGGTAGGAAGGGCTCTGGCCCCATGAAGGCAATTCCGGCTAATAGACCATTTCTATACTTCTGCAGGCTTTTAATTATTCTGGAGTTCATTCCATTCTGCAAGAAGGGCTCCTTGCTAAGACAGGAGACTTCCTGCTTGTCTTAATGCCGAATGACTAACTTCTCCTTGAATCAGATGTGAAAATCATTAAGTTCAAGAATCACTGGGCTGAAGGAAGGCCTGGGACACCTTATTTGCATGACCCTTTTCTCTCTGTAGCCAAGCTGTTGGCTTCCAGAGGCGACAGCTTCCTCAGGTTCTGCTCTCTTCCTCCCACATCCTTCCTCCCATCCACAGTTTTATTGACAACTTGTAGCTATCAAAAGCTGACTCCCTTTTCACAGGTTCAGCCCACCTTCCATACCCAAGCTTGGAAATGAGACCTTAATTAGCTTGATTGTAGGGCTGCCCTAGTGCTTCAAGTGGATTGCAAAACCCATGAAAGCCAGCCTTTCAAGGGAGGAGTGGCTAATGAGTGGCCCAGACAAACAGAGACTGGTGAACCATGGCCACAACAGGCCACTAACCATCTACAGCCTCCCTTCGCCGTTTAACTCAACTTTACTCATTTAGCCTTGGTACTGGAGCTGGGGTGGAAAGGGTTAGATTGAACGATGCAGTTCTACCAACCAGGGGGACCTGTTCAGCTCTCACTGCAAGTCTACTGCTGTCACCACTAGGATAGTACAAAATTGGAAAGATCACAGGGGTTGCGGGCTCTGTGGAAAGCAGGCTGCCTACTGTGAGCCCTCAGAAGACATTCCTGTGGGACAGAGGATTGCTGTTCATTTGAGGGTCCCTTAGAAGGAGAAAGGCAAGATTTGGGAACATCTGAAGGACTGATATCATTGGAGCACTGCCTATGTGCTAAATGCCATCCTATGTGTTCATCAGCTCACAGACTTATAACACAACCCTCACAAAGTGCATGATCTTGGAGCCATGACATGCTCCATTTACAAATGAGGAAACTGAGGCAGAGAATGGTCCCACAATGAGAGAGACATGGCAGAAACTCCAGCCACAGCACCAGCCACCACAGAACGCACTTGTGCTAAGTG